TTCTTTCTTTGGAAATTGTCCTTTTAAAAGCAATTCCACTTGGACACACCGGTCAAATATAAATTTGATCACAGTATATAAATCAAAATATAAGATAGAATTCAAAGTATAGGCAATAATTATATATGATTTTGAGTTTAACTATTTTTCTCTTATGCAAGTTCTATCTTATATTTGATTTATATTTTTATTATTTTATTAGAATTATAATTTTTGAAGAAATCTTTAAATTGATAAATAAAAAAATTCTTTTTATTAATCTTTTAATTATATACAAAAAAAATGTTCTAAAGAAATTTTTATATTTATTTGCTAATAAAATCTTAATACTTTCTTTAAAATAACTTGAAACATGACTTTAAGAGTCACCTTTATAATTTCTTTTTTGTTTACAAATCTTTTTACTTAAAAACTTGATTCTAATAATTAAGAAAAGTTAAGTAACACCTTTGATATCAATAATAAAAAAGTTTTTAAAGAAAAAAGAACTAATTATAAAGATTTTCTATAGTAAAAAGACTTATTTTTTTTTTAACTGGTTTAACCTCTTATTGTTTTTACTTTTATAATTTTCTGAGAAATTTTATCTAATTCAGTTTGGCTCTGAATTTTAAATAGTACAAGTTTTTTATACTGTGATTGAATAAATAATGTTTAAATTAGGAACAGAATATAAACAAGTTCCTATTAATTATTTTATATATCTAAATGTATTTTCTTAGTTTCATAAGAACCTAGAGTTATTAAGTTGATATAGATAGATATAAAACACTTTTTTATTCATATTATTAATTCCTTTAAAAAAAAGTTTATTTGTTTATAGTAAAGATTACAAAATACTATAATTAGATTTTATAGTTATAATTATCTATTCCTAATTATTGAATAAATTCTTTTTTCAGTTTTGTTAAATAGGTAAAGATTTAAAACAACAAGTTTTTATGATAAAGTTGGATTTATATAGTAGGTGAAATATAGAGAATTAAATTTTTTCTTTTAAAATAATATGTTTTACTTAAATATATATATTAAGAGAAATCTAAAAAAATCGATAAATCTTTTTTTCAATACATAAATTAGATTAATTCAAGTAATTTTTCTTGACAACAAGTTATCTGATAAATTAAAGTGATTAGGATTTTATAACATGAAGATATTGAAAGCAATTGAGAAATAGATAATATACTCTTGATTAAAGAGACTCTTGAAGAGTAATCAGTTTATGATATTAAAGTAATAGTAATAATATAAAATTTTAATAGTTCACAAATAATTCTAGGAATGTTTTATTAATCATTATTTCTTGTATTTGCATTACATACTAACTTGAAATTTTAATAAAACAAGATTTAATTTCTATTTCAAAAAAAAAAAAAAAAATTGAAGATAACTAGTAATAAGTAATATAGTAAAGGAATATAAAACTCTTATTAAGACCTGTGGGTCAATAGCATAGTGGTAATGCTCCCAGGTTACCAAGTACTGTTTCCGAGTTCAATACCACTGTGAGGCAGTATCACTTAAGCCTAGGTGATACAAGAAGATCTCATCCATCCCATGACAAAGATCTAACCACTCCTGGTCAAGATCCCGTCCGATCACAGGGCAACAAAAAGATCACAAGATGCTCCAGCCAGTTTTAGTGCCGAAGCCACCTTGTCACAAGACAGGTTCAATAAGTTCCTATAGATAGGTAGAAGATTTGCTAAGCTGTGAAAATTCGGAGGGTACTAACGGAGCTTAGGCACATTAGTTAGAGGAGAGTCTCTACCAATCAAGATCTGTCCAAGACTCCACGTGATCTCCCCATAGGCAGGCTATAATAGGTCATGTAAAAAGAGTTTTCGGTGAGAAGAGATGACATCTAAGACTCCATGTGGATACTTCGTAGGCATACTGTAATAGGTATTGTAAAAAGAATACCAAGTGGAATGAGATATAAAAGGGGGTCCTGTATCCTGACCTAGAAGATGCATACATCAGGAAAAGGTATAAACATAGAAAGGTGGGTAGTAGGGCTTCCTCCAGCAACAAGTCACGTAGGTATTAATGGTAACTTTAAAGTTATTTGTCACAGATATGAATTTATCACATAATTGTTGTAGAGTTACAGAAAGATATATATAAGCTGGATAAAGAATATAATATAGCACTATGTAATTTGTATTCACAGTATGCCTATGCCTTTACCATAATAAATTGGCTTCGTTTACCCTTTAAAAAAAAAAAAAATAAATAAAAAATAAAACTCTTATTAACTTTGAAAGTTATATAATAAACTCCAAGTATCCTATTTTTTTTAACAAATAGTAGCTGATAGATCGTAAAAAAAAATATGACTCGAACTTTGGGAATTCCTCTGGTAAAATCATACTTTACTATTTTGAAACTTTTTTATTATTGATATTGATATTGCTTGATTTTTCTTAATTATCAAGTCAAGTTTTGTTTAATAAAAGTATAATTTGAAAAAAATATATTTTATCCTTAAAAAATATATATTAAGAAAAAAATATACAGTATATAGTATATATAATGAATGCTTTTTCTCCGGGCATCTTCGATGGAGCCTTGGTTCTCTCCGGAGATCATCGCTCGGATTCCTGTGCACTATAGTTTTAGTCTTCAGCCAATCAAACGTCCCTCACGAAAATTTTTTTAAAGAAAAAAAAAAGGCATCATTCGAGTTTTGACCTCTGATTCTTCTTCGGATACACACACGATAGAGGGATGGCGATGGCGACATATCACGATCAAGACGGTTTTGAGGATGAACTGGATCCTGCGGAGATGGATATAATAGCCAACAATGGTGCCTACACCGGAGTTGACGAAGAATTGGACGACGAGAGTAAGTACTGATGTTTTCTCAGATAAATTTTATCCTAATATTGACTATTTTCTCAATCATCGGCTTTAAGGTCAATTACAAATGCAATTATTGCTTCAACAACAATATACTCAAGAGATTCCTGATGCCGTTAAAAATTTCATAATGTACTTTCATCGAACCATTCTGGAAAGCAATGTGTACGAGTTACACGGAGTATACGAGAACTCATTCAATCGGTTAACCGAAAAGTTCTATTCGAAAACAACTTGGCCCGAAGCCGATTTCATTGCACCGTTGGTCAACGATGGTATCTTGCTTGAAAATTGATCGCTTATCTGAAAGCGCGTCTATTCTATCTCATCTCATAGTTTTTTTTTAATAATTAACTTCTGATTATTAGATCAAGTATTCTTGACGTTATATCGAGAACTTTATTATCGTCATATCTATTCGAAATTGTCCCCTACAATCGAACACCGATTTCATTCATATGAAAATTATTGCGATCTATTTAATTACATTTTGAGTGAGTCGAAAAAGTTTTCATTGACCGACCTTCGGCGTACATTATTCAATCTTAAAATAATAATTCAATAGACTCTGATGGTCCCGTTGGGTTGGAGCTGCCAAACCAATGGCTTTGGGACATTATTGACGAATTCATTTATCAATTTCAATCGTTTTGCAACTACCGCAACCGGCTTAAGAATAAGACCGACGAGGAAATTGCCTTATTACGAGATAACGTTCAGGTAATTATTTATTGATCGATATGGTGATAAGTTATTCGTTCAATCTAGTAACATTCTATTCCATGATTCAGGTTTGGAGTTGTTATAGCGTATTGAATGTCTTATATTCGCTCATCACAAAATCCAAGATTACCGAGCAATTACTCGTAACCAAGCACGGCGGTGATATGATGTAGGTGAAATGACTTGGAGTTCATTTCCTCTGATTTACAGCGCCCTTGACAATGTTATGTTGTGTGTAGTGAGGCTGCCGGAGAATATGGTTCTCGCCCATTGTACAAGATGTTGGGATATTTTAGTATTATCGGTCTTTTGCGAGTCCATTGCTTGTTGGGTGATTACACTTTAGCGCTTAAAATGATGGATAATATTGAACTCAACAAGAAGGTATGGTGTTAAATTCAGCATACTTGTCCAATTTTTGTCAACATCAAGTCATTTTCATTTTGACTCTATGTTCAGGCTCTTTTTGCACGCGTAACAGCATGTCATGTCACGACTTATTACTACGTGGGTTTCTCGTATATGATGATGCGAAGGTACGCGGATGCTATTAAGGCATTTTCTCACATCCTTGTTTTCATCGCGAGAACAAAAATGTATCACACACGATCCTACCAATTTGATCAGGTAACGCTTTCCCCGTTCCTATAAGAGCTTTTAGAATATCTTACGTGAGGCAATGGTGCTCGTTTGATTTATATTTCGAAATGTGTGTCCGTTTCTTTTTCATAGATCAACAAAAAGGGGGATCAAATGTATGCTTTATTGACCATCTGTATTGCTCTGTGTCCAACGAGACTGGACGAGAATATTCATACTCATATGAGAGAAAAATATGGTGAACACTTGTCCAAAATGCAACGGGGGTTCGTAGATTTTGTTATTCGATGATTGAAATTTCATATTTTCTGACATTGTCCGTCTTTCTTAGTGAGGAAGGACTGCAGATGTTCGAGGAGCTATTCTTGTACGCCTGCCCGAAATTCATTTCTCCAATCGGTCCAAATTTTGAGGATTCCAACGCCTTAATTGTATTTTAGATATTTAATGGAATAATTTTTGATTCGCATTTATTCTAGTGTTCGTCTAAACGACGCTCTCACTCAATTCACTAGGAACCGCATCACCATCATGCGAAGATTTTCCTCGCAGAAGTGCGCAATCAAATCCTCATTCCAACATTACGGTCTTACTTAAAATTGTATACGACGATGGGAATTGACAAGTTGGCTGCTTTTCTAGAGATTCATCCCGATGAGTTAAGGTAATCGAAAAGAAAAAAATAAAAATTTTTTTCAACCATTTAATATCTTGCTAGAATCCTGTCTGCAATCCGCTAGGACACAGCTACTCATCGTTAAGCAAAAATCGCGTCAACAAAAATGGGTTAACGGTACATTGCTCGAAGGAAAATATGTAGCAGCTTCGGATCTCGACTTCTGCTTGAAGCAGGTAAAATAATGTGGTTTTGACGCGTCCACTTTTTATTATCGGCTGACGGATATCGCCTAACACTTCTATGTGGATGTAGGATATGATTCATATCGCCGAATCCAAAGTGGGACGCCGTTATGGGGATTGGTTCTTGCGCAATATAAACAAACTCCAGGTGAGTAATGATTTGATGAGGCAACATTTACATGTCTGATTCTATTAACAGCTTTTCATCTTTTTTTTTTTTTTTTCTTAGGATATTATTGCAGGGATGGAGCTTCGTAATTAATTTTTACCTTAGGGAGATGGATGGTCGGTTAATATTTGAACGTGTTGGATGGCTATCGCCAGCCTTATCGTGGTGTCGGTAGTTAGAATAGAAGAGACCTTTTTTAAACTTACATGTGCGCCATTCGCATCGCGAGTTGTAAATATAATAAAGAAAGAACAAAAAAGAAAAAACTCTATTTATTCCTTTTGTTTTTGTGCGGCTGTATTTTGTAGATGGTGTTACAAAGCTTTCTTTGTCAATTTTCATTTTTTGCCTGCTTTAACTTCGACCTTCGAAGTTTGTCCCTTTTTTAACGAACTGCTCATCTGAAAAGCCTTTTCTGGCTGATTTCTCAAGTAATATAATTTTGCTCTCCTGAATCCTTCGCCCCGTTGTAAGATCTTGATATCCTTGATCATCGGTGAAAACAGGGAATACCTTATTTCGACCCCGACCTTCGATATGATATTTCGTAAAGTGAAATTGGTGTCAACACCTTGTCTCCTGATCGCGATGCAAATGCCGGCGAAGGAGGTTGTCGACTCACTTCCCTGGTGTGTAAAACTTTCGACCAAAAGCACGTCACCAACCCTAACTCCATCTTTATTTTTTGCAAAAAGTTTTTCTCGTTCTGGCGGACGTCGTTTTATCTCCTCTTCCGTAAGCAAACTCATCAAATTTTTGCCAACAAGACTTGGGCTCGGAAATTGCTTCTCAGGCACTATTATCGAGGGTGGTGGTACATATTTCTCCGTCACCGGTGCATTCCCTGTGTCATGAAAGAGATCTTGTTATCATCCATAAGGGAGAAGGTGTTTAAAGGTAATTGGGAATACCTTTTGCATTAGTCGTTGCATGCCTGACGAATTGGGTAACCAGTGTCAAGCGCGTCGAGCATTTCGAAAGATTTTGAAGACGAAACATTAGGATTGATCGAAATAAGATCAGCATATTATCCGGGGGTTTTTTTTTTTCATATGGATTAGAGCATTCTTGGATAAGATTTGCATTATCAAGTAGGTGATCAGTCAACTCTGAAATCCAAAAACGCTAATTAATTAATACCAACATTAAGCTTAATCATATACGCCCGAGGATTCAAAATTAATTAGAGATCCATTATTTATGGTGCAATTTAAAGAATTCCTCGGGTTTAAACCGGTTTCAGACTCCGGAGGCTCGCGCATAAATGTGCTTTGCGATGGTGGCTCCGAAAAGACGATCATGGGATTCCTTGTCGAGTTGAAACCGTGCCTCTAAGAATTTGACAAGTTTAAAATTTTGTCAGAATTTCTGTAGTGGCGATCATCAACTAAAAAGGCATCCCTCGTGACTTTATTTGATTGGAGTATAAGTTCCCAGATCCCAGACTTCGGGCTTGCTTTGGAATGAAATCGAGAAATATGATAAGAGTTAACACCATAGCATTGGTGTTGCATCTGTTTAGTTTATTATTCGTAAGCTCGTATGCGGGAACGCCTGTTCAAACGTGGCTCAAAACTTCATGGGACGCACCTCACCTAATCCTCGAAATTTTGTATGCAAGTTCTTGTGATTTAGAATTGCTCAATTCCGACGTTTGAAAGGGCCTGTTAACTTTGTTGCACTAAATTTCACTCAAATTTTCGCAGAGAGTCTGTAACCTCCGAGAATTCTTCGGCATATTTTCCACTCGTCAATGAATTTCTACGGGAGGGGTTATTTTCCTCGGAACTGACCGCCCACGAAATTTACAAGTCCGCTCTCGACGTAATCGAAAAGAAACAATTTTTATCTGCGCCGACCACCAAACCTTTACTCGAATTCTCCCTCTCCCTGCATACCACGGCTCCAGCCATTCATGCCTATTACCATTATTATAACGCGACCGTAATTCCATCCAAAAACGAATCCAACCAAAAATTCAACCCAGATTGCGAGGTCTGGATCGATTGGTATGGTAAACAAGCTTGCGATGTTGAGGAATTCCAAAATCTTATTGGATTTACGAGCTCCACGAAATTTAAGTTGAACATTACTCGGTAACTAAATAACACAACTCCACGCATACATTGGGTCATTTCAAAATTAACATCTATTATTACAGTGATGCGACCTCTCCTAAACTCTTGCCATTCGATCATGTCCTTAAACCTCGGGTCCAGACTCCGGAGCCAGTGATAATTTTGTACGCCGATTTGTTGTCACCAGAGTTTTCTAAATTTCACGAATTCATAAATTCATTGGTTGAAGACGGAGAGGCAAGCTATGTCTTGAGATACAAACCACCAAAAGGGAGTCGTGACACATTATATTTATCGGGATACGGTGTAGAGTTGGCATTAAAAAATATGGACTACATTGTTATAGATGATCGTAAAGTGGAAATAGGTATGGTAACTATGTTTCTATTCTTTTCGAATTTACTCCATTGATGTGTGATTGATAATGGTTTTTCTGGTTGTCGAAGGTGTCGGGAATAAAGAGACTGACGCGGAAGATCGCAAAGAGGAACCCAGCAATAAATCCGATGATCACCTGTTTGACCAGGATAGCTCTGAAATAAAACCTCTTAAAGCCGGGGAAGTTAAAAGTAATTAAAATGCTAATCGCATTTTCACTTTATCCCGACATTCATGGAATTCAACTAACGCAAAGTTTTCAACCAATGTAGGTCTAGGAATAAAGGCCGCACAATTTATACTAGAATCGCAGGATCCTCTAAAGACACTCACGCAATTGTCCCAAAATTTTCCAAAATATTCACATTCCATCTCTCAAATTCCTTTAAATTCTTCCTTGGAAGAGGAGATAATGACAAATCATCATGTTCGTTTAGACACGAATTCATTTTGGCTCAACGGACTGGTCATAAACCCTGAATCTGCTGATCCATTCAGGTAGATAATTATAAAATGGTAGCGCGTACATTTAGCGTTTGCGTCTAAATAACCCTTTTCACATTAGCTTGTTAAAGCTGTTGCGTCGTGAACGTCAAACAGTTTTATCCTTAAAAAGTCTTGGCTTGAATTCGCATCAAGCCATCGATTTGCTTTCTTCTCCCATTATCTCTCAAGCTCAATCACCTCAGGATTCTTCGAGAGGCGTATTCGATGTTCGCGACAATTCTCCAAAGAAAAATGTGGTCGTGTGGCTTAATGACTTGGAAAAGGACGACCGATATGCTATGTGGCCTGATCGCATTTACGAGGTACACACTTCTGTCTACATACCTCACTTTATTTGAAGAGAACTAGTGCTTATGAAATTTGTTCAGATTCTTCGTCCGGTTTTTCCGGGACAGATGCGATATTTACGTAAGAATTTGTTCTCGACGTTGTTCGTCATGGACCTCTCCACCACGGGAAGCCTCAAAATTATCGCCGAACAAATAAACATGTTTCTATCGCGAGATATCCCCATTCGATTCGGCCTTATTCCACTTTTTTCCGAGGATCATCAAAATTGTAAGCAAGTTGGAGAAATTGTACCGAGGAGATTTTTCGATTCGTTCCATTCACATTAATTTTCATTTTTGGAAGCCATTGCGATGGCAAGAATTTTCTATCATGTTATCGACCAATACCCTCCATCGACGGCGACAGAGCTGCTCACTTCGGTACGTGATTGTGTCAGCGCCATGTGTATCTAGGTGATAACATTTATTTTTGTTTGACAATAATTATTTCTATGATTCAGATTTACTTAAAACTCCGCAAATCGCCGACAGTAGAATTTATCCAAACAGTTAAGGAGGAATACAACAAATTTGTTAAGGAAAGGTCGCCGAAAAACAAAGAGGCCACCGGTTCTTTTGAAGAGATTATCAACGCCAATAACTCTTTGGTGGAAGAACAAGTTAATGGAGCTATCGAGTTTATTGACAGGTTTAGAATCGACACGAAAGGCAAAGGCGTATTTTTTGTGAATGGAAAACTTTTTGATATGACCGAGGTAGGGAAATATTGTGTGGGAGAATGCAGGAGGGAGGGGCAAGTGGATCTGTTTGACGAGTTCATTTCAACGATCTCTAGTCTTATCAACGGGATATGGTCCAAACAGTCAACGAGTATACGGCGTTCTTGCAACAAAAAGTTAGTCCAAAAACTACAATCTTTTTATCGCCTGTCATTAAATGACACAATACAATAATAATCTTGGAAGTCAATTTAGGTGCACTTTGGTGAGATTGACGATCGAACCGACATTTACGAATATTTCATGACCCTGCCAAATCTTCCCTCGAGGAGAAATCCTTATATCTTTGTCTCCGAGGTCCAACCCTTAAAAACAATCAATTTGGTTAGCGACAGGGACGAAAGCCTTTTTCAAATTGAACATTTAAAATTTATATCACGAGGTGATGTCTTATACTCACTATTCTGTCGGTTTTGCAGGCTTTCTTGCAGGGATCTAATCAATAAGTGATCACCGAAATTTTCTTGAACGTTACAGCGAGCGATACTGAAGAGGAGGACATGACATTATTATTAATAACCAATTTTGACAGCGAGCATGGAGCAAAGCAGGGACTGGATGCCTTGAAATTCCTTGTATGTATTCCCGAGACATTTGCCTTACGCTTTTAAGATGTAATGCTGAAGTCACGTTTTTGACATTTCAAGGACTCGGCAAAAAATGTGCGCTTATCCTTGATCCATCACCCAGGATCTGGATTTTTAGAAACACCCAGCATGTCATCGATGATATATCACTTGTTTTACGAAGAGTCGGTTATGCCGAGCATCAAAGATCTCCAAACAGCTTTTGAAGAATATTTAGATGTGATTTCAAAGAGTCAAATTAAAGGAGGAAATGTTGAAGGAGAGCAAATACCAATTGATGTTGATGATAAATTTAATTCCGCGCGGTCTGCTGGTTGGCAGGTGGTTGATAGACTGAAAGCCGAAAATTATTGGCAAAGCCTGGGTTCTTCTCTTAAGGATGCATTGAAGTTTAATGACGACGACACGACTATAGTAATAAATGGTCGTGTGAGTACTTCTATTGAGATGACCTTGTTTGTATATTTTCTCTCGAATTGCTCATTGGAAGTATTTCGATTTGCCATTTAGATAATCGGACCTTTTCCCATTGATGATGCTTTTCAAGTAGAAGATTTCGAATTGCTTGTGGATTTTGAATTCTCGGAGCGCATTTCCCCCGTCGTGCATGCCATTGAAGAGCTCAAGATAAACGTAGGGCTAAAGGGGTATGTATTTTAGCTATTGCAAGATTGCTTTTATATTGCACATCATATGATAGAATGACGAATGATGCCTATGTTTCTTATGCATGCAGCTCCAATTATTCGAATTTTATTGCAAAGGCATCTTCGGTCATATCCGCTTCTAGTACGTCGGATGTTCCACCAGGCCTGTTTAACAATCAAGAGCATAGGCGCGACACCATCTTCAGGAAGTTGCAGGGAGATGTTAGGTAATTGAGCTATCAATAAATTAATCATTATTAAATTATTTTGATGCTACATGCGAAGAAAAAATGGATAAAATCGAATCCCTTATTATATTGAATTTCTAACTCGATGGCTTTCGTGTATTCATCATTAGTCGAGTGAATATTGGTAATCCTGACGATGCCATCTACAACATTGTTGCTGTCATTGACCCGATAAGTGAGATGGCGCAAAAATGGTCGACTATTTTAACAGTAAATTTCATATCCTTGACACATCAAAAATTGATATTAATAGCAATTTTACTTAATCGTCGCTTATCTTCAATCTTTTTTATTCATTAGACTTTGTCGCAGTTTGATGGTTTCTTTTTAGAAATATATTTGTACCCGCCCACACACATAGAGGAAATTCCGTTGAAACGATTCTATCGCTATGTTTTAAGCCCTAGATTGACTTTCAACTCTACCACCGGGTAATCAATTTATGCCTTACCGATCGATCAACTTACAACCTTCCACCTACCGAATTATTATTAACAAGTGTTTCCTCCATTTAGATCACTTGTGCCCCCGTCTGCATATTTTATTGATCTTCCAGAGAATCCACTGTTAACTCTAGGAATGGACGTTATATCCCCATGGTTGGTTACTCCAAAGTCATCCATTTATGACCTGGACAATATTCAGTTATCTAAATTGGATGTTCGGTCACGAGCCAAGGGAGTGGAGGCCACTTTTGAATTGGTAAATATCTTAATTGAGGGGCACGCGCGTGATGTCACGTTAAATATGCCGCCAAGTGGTCTCCAGCTGATACTTGGGACAAATAGCTACCCTTCGATGGTAGATACCATAGTAATGGCAAACCTTGGATACTTTCAACTGAAAGCGAATCCAGGAGTATGGACCTTGGGACTAAGGGAGGGGAGGTCAACTGAAATATTTGAAATTCAAAGTGTAGGCAGCGAAGGGTGGCTAAGTAGAAGTGTGGAAGAAATTGGCGATGGGATTGTTTTGAATAGCTTTGAGGGATTGGTGATCTATCCGCGTATGGTAAGAAAACTCGGTAAAGAAAGCGAAAAAATTTATCAAGACGATGAAGGTGGAAGCGATGATGGAATATGGGATTATCTGAAAAGCAGGTGAGTTTTTTCCGACGAAATTTCGGTTCCTTGGGCATTGCTCTTTACATTGATCCATGTCTTTCCGTTGCGAAGGTTCTCTCATACAAAAGAAGAATCAAGGCAAAACAAAGCTGAAATCAATATTTTTTCGGTGGCTTCCGGTCACCTTTACGAAAGATTTCTTTCTATCATGATCATTAGCGTGCTTCGACACACAAAGAGTAGTGTCAAGTTTTGGTTTATCGAAAATTTCTTGTCACCTTCTTTTAAGGTTGGTCGATTATTGGGAAAGGTATTTTGAAATAAGGCGAGATTAATTCTATCGGCTCTTTGTTTTATAGGATTTCATACCTCACATGGCAAAAGAATACAATTTTGAATACGAACTTGTGACATATAAATGGCCACACTGGTTGCGTGCCCAAAAAGAGAAACAAAGGACCATCTGGGGGTACGCAATTACGCCATTCTACTTCATACTTCACACATCATTATTCATTCCACTTTTGCGCACATTACTTTAGTTATAAGATTTTATTCCTCGATGTACTTTTCCCGCTTAATTTGGATAAGGTTATCTTCGTCGACGCCGATCAAATAGTACGTACCGACCTCAAAGAGCTGGTCGATACGGATTTACATGGTGCGCCTTATGGATATACACCATTCTGCGATAATCGACCCGAGATGGATGGTTTCCGATTTTGGAAGTCCGGATACTGGCAAGAACATCTAAGGGGAAAGCCTTATCACATTAGGTGGGACTTTAAAACGATGCGCTATTATAATTTGACATTCTTGTCACTGAAAAAACAAACCCCCCTCCCTTTCCTTTTAGCGCTCTTTACGTAGTCGACTTGCAAAGATTTCGTCACATGGCTGCTGGAGACTACTTGCGCGGTCAGTATCAGGCACTCAGCGCGGATCCGAACTCCCTTTCAAATCTAGATCAAGACTTGCCAAATAATATGCAACATATGATCCCGATATTTTCTTTGCCTCAGGAATGGCTATGGTGCGAGACGTGGTGCAGCGATGAATCACTGGCCAGGGCTAAAACTATTGATCTTGTAAGTCATGTTTCGATTTTTAGAAGTATGATAACCTCCACCAAGTCGTTTCACTATTGACAAATTATAATGATGATTATCATAACTTTTATTATTGAAATAGTGCAATAATCCGTTGACAAAGGAGCCTAAGCTCGATAGAGCAAAACGACAAATTCCGGAATGGGAATCATATGATAAGGAAGTGGCCGATCTGGCAGCTAGAATTGTACAGCAGAAAGTCAATTCATCATCACATAATGTAATTCTAAATGTAGATGCAATAAGAGATGGAGAGTTAATTGTTGAGAATGCGGAGGAAGGTGGTGCCAAGGATGTTGAAACAATAATCGAGGACACAAGCGAAGAAATGGAAGTTGAGGTTAAATCTGACAATTTAAGACAAGTCACGCTGACCACCGCCGCCACCGTTCCTCCAATTAAAGACGAGTTGTGAAATTTTGGATATTGCGATTTATTAAAAATAGATTTTTTATTAAAGATTAGGAAATTTTTATTGTAATTGAAAAACAAAAAAGTAGTTTGTGAAATTTATCTTTTTGATTTTAATGAGGTTTCTCAAAATACGTTTAACAAAAGTACTTAGATTTCCATAAAGTGAGATATGGTTGACGCATCTGATATACTATTTCACGTGTGATTGTCTAGTTTCAATCAATTTCGCATAGATATTTTAATAAATGTGTTTGTTTGAGTTTCTTCAAGGTGAATTCTACATTTTATATTATGCACATTTGTAATCGCTTGTAAATTTTGAGTCCATTTTGTTTTATTCATTCATCTAACATTGATATCTCATTCATTTCATTTGATTTGATTTTTGTGATCTCATGATATTTAAATTTTATCATTTGGCGACCAATTTTATGCCAATATAAATTTGTAACTCGAAAAGTAAAATTCCCAAAACTCGAAGTAAAGTTTGTTTCAAGAATGAAAAATTCAAAACCAGGATGATACCGTGAGTTCAGACTTATGTAAGCAACCGTGTGACAAGAATAAATGCGAACACAATGGCATTGGGCTTTCATTATTTTAATATTATTTGTAAATTTTGATCGCTTGCAAATTACAATTGAAATTAATTGAATTTTCAAAATAAAAAAGGATTTATAAAACTTGAAGGACCCTTGTATCTCGTTATAAGCCATTCCCACTTTTGTACACGATGTCAATAATGAAAAAAATGGCAATGCAGAGTGCAACTTTACACGTTGACAAATGAGGGCCCCTTGGTCACCACACGCAAGACTACAATAGTTCATCGAAGATATTTTCCATCGACCTCCTCTCATCCCACAACGATCGTATATCTGACACTGTAAAAAATTCCAATTTTTTTTCAGTGACATAACCATCTATCAAACCTGATTCCACTTTCTCAAAATACACATTTCTCACTGTGACATCCTTATCCTTCATGTCATCGCACCATCCTCTCGCATATCCCGAGGTTACTTCGCTCGCCTCTTTCTCCTCCATTATCTCCTCATCATTTCCCGCTATTTTATCAGTTCTCGACACCACAAATACGGACTTCTCATGATATTTGGCAGCCAGTGCTAAAGGAACCGAACCAATTTTACTTATCACCGATCCGTCTCCTAAAATTTTGTCTGATCCTAGTAAAACATGCGTCACAGTAGACATGAAATAGTCGCACGACGCGTCTGTAATTACCTGAATTTTAACACAATGATTTTTTTCGCCTTTGTTTGGAAGAAGAGAAGCTAATTTCCTCGCAAGCGTGGATCCTTCATTTAAAGGACGTGCCTCCATGATGGTAATGGTGACATCACGTGGATTACCCGAAGATAAATTTTCACTGATAAAGTTGGAAAGTACCGAGAGTATGGTGGAAGAATAACTCATGGTCATGATATGTATGGAGGTGATCTTCGCATCAGAAAACAAGGCTAATTTGAATGCTGCTTTGATCCTTTGTTCAGACTCCCTAAAGGACGATTTTATTTGTTCGACAACATCAAGTGAATATTTTTCAATCGATTCAATTGATATGCCACTCTTCCAAATCTTCTTTTTGATTTGTTGCATTAAATTAACCACGGTGGAGGTGATGGAAGCCTTCATGGTGGGCCTAGTTTGGCAAAGATTCCATCCAATGTTGAGCCACGCAAGATACAAGTCTTTAGGACTTTGTGCGTGCTTTCGACACGATTTGTCCTCGATTACTTTGGCGATTATTTCCAATGCATTTCCTGCTAATTCTTGAGCGCCAGAGGATCTGTTTTCAAGTATATACATGAGTCCATTGTGTGCAACTTCGGGCAGATATACTCGATGAAAGGCTTCCACTATTTTCGGAACAGCGTCAAAAGAACTCAGTTCTTCAGGTCGGATCCACTGAAATGTGTCATGCTCCCAATTTATTTTCACCTTTTTTGCGATGTCTCTGGAGTTTAGGCGAAAAAGAAATGGATGAATTATCCAGGTAGTTGAATAATCTTCAGCGTTGCAGGTGAGGGGTTTACCGACGCGAATGAGTTCGATATCTGAAGAGGTTAAGTTGGTTTCTTCTTGAATTTCAGTTATGGCACGTTCGAGCGGAGAAGAGTCGCTAGCTTCTATTCCACCGCTAACACCTCCCCAACGGTGTCTGGAAAGGAAGGGTAAAGTGAGCATCCTCAGAATTCTGTAGTCAAGAGCAGTCAAAAACATTCGTGGACTTACTGGTAAGTGTTAACTTTCTCACTTCGCTTCAACAGCAACAGTCGATCTCCCTGTGCCAACGGGCTATCTTGCTCCGAATAGGTCAAGAACGAGGTAACCACATTTCTTCGTCTCATTGTGGTTAAAGAGTGGGGACGCCAAGCGCCGAGAACTTTTAATACCTTCACTTCCAGTCACTGATTGGATGAATGAATATCACAAGTTACATGAGATGGATGACCTTAAAAAGAGATCACATAAAAAACAAAGGGAACTAAACACCTTGGATAACAGAAATTTTTAATTTATTAAGGTGAATAGGTGAAATTAACAGATGTGACATTAAAAAGTGGCAGTTTGATTATCATTTAAGAAAGATTAGTGTGTGCACTCAGATTTCTAGAAAATGGATTCTCAGATTTTCCCACTCCTCTCTCCTATTGATCCAGAGGGGCTTTCTTACAGAGGATTTATTACAGTGAGGGTAAATTTAAAAGTTCGTTTCACGCTGTGAGCTATCTATCGTTCAGGATGAGTTCGTGATCTCGAATGAGGTTCGCGTCATAGGGACAAGAACTTCCTTTTCAAATTCAACTTGAAAGCTCCAATCTCGAGACATTAAAAAATGCAAAACTTTACGGATGCCCCGAGTTAAAAAGGCTTTTATATGGCCACGAAAATGCTCTGCAACAAGTATTTAAATTATATTCGGTGCTCCCTATAGGTTATTTGATCCGTTTATTCACCTATTCGTCCATAAAATAGCGGATTGAACAGTGCACCAACTTTTCCGAGTTCTTCTTGGATCTCAAAGACTTGCTAGTAAACATTCGTAAAATTTCCAGGCACACCATACCTTCAACACAATACAGAACGTAAATCATGATTTTATGAATTAGGAACTGATAATGACCAAAGAGAAGCCTGAGCCCATGCCGGCGGGAAAATACTATTCAAGTTTATTGTCGGAAATTAATTCGATTGGATGGGACAAGTTGGAAACTCTTGACCCATCTTTGAAAAGCCTGTTTCTGAAGCTAAGGTGTGAAGAATTTTAACCATTGATCGGAGAAGGAAAAAAAAAAAAACAACAAAACAAAAACAAAAACAAAACAAAAAAAAAACACCGAATTAAAAAATTACGTCGGAACCAATAATAGCGACTCATCAGGTCGAAAACATAGTATCTTTGTATTGCTACCATTTTCCTACCCTCATGCACCGCTTGAGGCGCGTGCGGACCTTCCGTCAACCTCAAAGGCCCCAATTCCCGCTACCTGTCTTAAGGATGTGGTAAACTATTATTCTAAGGTAAAGGATATCGAAAAGTCTCACTATTTGTGATACCCACGATGACAAGTTTCGTTATCACAGGAATTCGAAAAATTTCAAGAGATTTGGTCTATGCTCGACGATATCGATGCTAATACTTGGGTGCTGGAACCCGATAAACCGAAACGAAGCGATTTGACGCGACGAATTGCATTAGGTAATTATTGTTCTCTACAAATAGGGATCGACGCGGAACATCCACGGGAGGAATGTCAGTACCAATTGTTTGGCACAGAGAGTCTCATCGAACCGTTACATCTTAAAATAGCAAAAAACTGGAATAGCTGGTCAGCTGACATATTCTTTATGAAAACTTCTTTCTTTCTTTAATTATTTTCGTCGATATTGAGTGCATATGTGCATCTGCCCAGGGACACAAGGCTCACCGTCAGGCAAAACCTCGAGAAAATATTGGAAACGACATTCCCTTCGCCTCAGATCTCTTCATCTTCTGATATTAATTTTGACTGTGGCATTTGTTATTCTTACCGTTTCGAGGGCCATGTACCAGAACAATCGTGCAACAATGTTAAATGCGGAAAACCATTTCACCGGGCGTGCTTATATGAGGTTGTTTAATCTTTAGATGTTATCTGTCAGCAAATTTATTTGCGAATGAAATTTGATTATATTGATAAATTGACTAGTGGCTTCAAGCTATCCCTTCAACAAAAAGGAACTTCCAAACGCTTATTGGGAATTGTCCGTATTGCGATGAAGTAAGTAGCATTGATGATTTTATTAAATTAAGAACGCGTCGATTTTTAAAAAAAAAATTTTTTTCCTTAGACTATTACCACCGTTAGGGAAAATTGATTGGTAATTTAGTGCAGTAAATAAAACCTAATCTCCATAAATGCTAGGTCTCTGCTTTATCGAGAAAAGTTAGTTAATTCTCATGGTGACTTTATCTTGCTGTTCATAAGCATGTGAATGTTCATGTAAAAATTATTTGGTCGACTGTCGACTGTCGATATATCACCACGCACTTCATACCACATACTTTACGGCCAGTAGAAAAAACTGATTTTTGTGGCAATCGCGTATCTTATTCCCAAACACGTTTGAGATCTGCCTTTCTGATAGCAACTGGATAAACTTGTTCAAATTTGTTCCCATAAAATATGTTGCTCAAAGATCTGTTATACTTCATGACGAAAACACCAAGTCGAATAAAATATAGCGGAACCGGTCCGAAATTATAAATTCAGAAATACGTTTCCAAGGAATTTCGATCACTTGAAAGGACAATCATTGTCAGATGACCTCTGGATAAAAGAACACACCATATTAATTCACTTTGACATTCCTAGAATAATTTGAAACTGGTCTCTATTATTTTGTAGCCATCCGCTGATTTAACATCTCTAACCATAAAATTGTTAAGACATCGCTTTCCTCGGAAGTTCGCCTATGGATCAGTCCTTCGGGGGAATGTTGTGCGGTTTGATCTATGCGGGCGATTTGATTTCCAAGCCATATTGGTCATTAATATGTGGCATAGCAATAAGCCAATTCTAATATATTCCAAAAAAAGCAAGCAATATATTAGAGCCTTGTTAACATGCTGAAAATATATGGAACAATATTAATTAATAATTAAAATTTTCTGAATTATAAATTATAAGTTTTTTGTAACTATTACTTATAGATTATTTAAATTACAAATATATATATATATATATATATTACTTTTATACCATGTATGCTCTATATACTGTATGCAAATGGTTTCTTGAAAATAATATACTGTAACAATGTCTATCAAAAGAAAAAAAAAGTTTCAAGCATTTTATGAATTTTTGTTGTTTGCGAATTTTTTTAGTTATAGTTGCCACCCAAATGGCCAAATCTTAGATATTTACGCAGTATACGATGGTTAATCTGTTCGGCGTCGATTAAAAATCTTTTTCTTTGATGGCTTTGTAAAGGTTAACTAATCTAGTAATGTATACTGATATTATAAGTAATTAAATAATCGACATATTAATTGGTTTGAGATTTTGGTTTGGTCATTTGGACGACAACTATAGTAGCATTGTTGAATCATCGGGGGAATCCGACGTTCAAATTGTTATTCAAGTTATTGAGGTCTCAAGGCAAAGATTGAAACAATGAAATTTAATGTGGGATTAAACAAACTTTATATAAAACAAAACGTTGGGCAGCGTAGCCCCCCCCCCCCATCATCTTTGGATCTTTCTCATATACCATAAACCGAATCCTTAAAGAACTGGGGGAATTTGTCGAATTATTGTTAAATAGTCATCACCCCGTAATGGTTGATTTTTCTTATCCTCCTCGGCCTTCATGATAACCTCCCTAGTCGCAAATTTCGTCGGTGTTGCCCCTCGACTAATAAAAGTCGGCTCCGGCGTGTCCGTCACCTCCCGCTTCTTCCGTGTAACTTCCCAATCCCCAAAACTATCATCCCTTCCAAAACACCTCTTTAACCAATTAAAATTAAATATCACCTTTAAAAATCGCAAATACGCTGCGCATGCTTCCAACGATGTACCAAATATCAAAAATATTATTATGCCCAACGATGCCACAATGTATTCTATATATTTTGGTTCTTTTACACTCAGCTCGTCTTGTTTGAGATTAACCACCAAGGATCGACCGTATAGCAGCACGATCATCGCGCAATACGTGACGAGGAATAGGACCAATCGCAAGCATATGTAAATTGGTATTCTTCCGACGACCCTTCTGGTGAATGAACCTGAGCTAAGATCTTCGTAAACTACAGATTCCTCATGGGACATGGTCACCGAAGATCCGTTTGATGGTGGCGTGCTCGCTTCAAGATCGAAGTCCCGTGCGGTTCGTGGTGTGGTGGATTTGTTAGGATCGAAACCTTTGCGAGCGAAGAATAGGTTCGCCACTGCGATGCACGTGCTTACTTTTAAACAGGAAATCATTAATGCAAGTTTTCGCTAATTCATACGAGAAGTTATGCTAACGTTAGTCGGCTTACTTAAAAAATAAATTCCAAGAAGACTCGTTAGCGTATTCCATCCCGCAACGCCAACAAATACCAACGGTATGCTCGGTTTGTTAAGCACACAAAAGAATGGCCCGGGTGCCTTAATGAAATTAAATGTATTAGGTGTGTGTGCGTAATACGCGCTCGTTTCTGATTATGAATATACCCACAATTCCATCTGGCTTGTCGGCGATCAAAAGCGGTGGCACGATGCCCACCAACACCGGGAATACCACCGACATCGTCAAATAATATTTCCGTCGTTTCCACTCTCCCTCGGTCACACGTTGTTTTACAATATTTCGGTATATCTCGTATGCATATATCAACACCGTGATTCCCGCAGAAATTCCCGATGCATTTATCCATAATGCTTGAACCCAACATACCGCCGTGGGTGCCCGATTCAAATTCGCCCCGTAGATCCATGCCCCGAGTATGTGTGGTATGTATAACATGATCAAGGACAGACAGAAGTAGACGAACACTCGGTTGCGAGCCAGTCGACCATAGATGATGGCCAGAATTATCATCAGGAACAGTGACATGGTACACAGGATTCCATAAGCCAATCCTCCGCTGGTCATGTAAGGATCATCGGCGATAGTTGTTGAGACGACTGGCGAGAACGTCGGTTGCGCTCTCTTCAGGAATGTTGGAAAAGTATTTGTGACAATCTCATGAAAAGGTTCCTTCCCCATTACTACTGTGACGCTCGGTGAGAAAGTATTTATTTTAAAATGGTGACAAATACAAGTTTTTCGAATAGTTAGTTTATATGTATGTATGTAATATATTATATAATGAAGTTCATGTGCACGGGTTCCTCTTTCAAGAAATATGTGAATGCTTGACGAAGAGTTTTATTATAATTTATCTTTTTTTTTAATATAATTTCGTTTATTTACAACTCTCGCTGTCTTCAGGGAGAAAATAAAATTATAGCTGGATACGAAATTTATTAGGACCGCGATTAAAAAATAAAATACAAGGTAAAGAAACTAATGTCTTTGTCTCTGAATTTTTTGGTCCGGGAAACAATAATAATTAATTCTCTACGTACATAAATCTAATCTATATAATATGTTTACCCTACAGAGGCAGCGGTGAAACAGCCAAAGTGGTTGGGAGCGGCTTAAAACATTCCTTTGCATTTATATATGACCCCGCACTTGAATGTTGGTATCACGAAACCGTCACGAAACCTATTTTTGGCAATCTGTCATATTAAAACTGTGAGTAGCAGTTATTATTGTCTTCTTATTAAGGAAGCTAGCCGTATGCGTTCGCGCGCTCATAATAACTTCTTCGAAATGATAATGGTACACGTTTTTTTTTTATTTGCGGTGATATACATGCATATCTGGAAAGTGGATATAAAAGAAAAAAAAAAAAGCTTTTTCTATAATGCACTAATTAATTCTATCCGCAAATGTCGCTCCCTTGAGATTGAACATTATACACCACCAGACGACCTCTCGATCGGGATACGCTTTTGTTTGTAACCTATCTTTCGGTCGTCGCCTGCTATCTCGGAAAGATGATATTCCTTCACTCCTCCCATGATTTCTAAAAACTTTCCATATTCTATCGATCCATTGTTCTCCAAGTTTATTTGCGTGATGATTGTTTTCAAAACTTGTTCGGGGACGGAAACTCCGAGTATGACCAATGCTTTATCTAATTCCACAAATTTGATATGACCTTCTCCCGATTTGTCGAGATCCGAAAATACTTTTTGGAAACTGGCCAACTCTTCGGGTTGAAACTGCAAATGGAAAGAGGGCGAGACCTCTCGGATGAAAGGCTTAGATGAATCTTGCCTTATTTTATCGATAGTTATTTTCTCGGTTTGTCTAGGGAGACCCATGGTATGTAAGAATTCAACGGCCCGATCGAATTCTTGGGTTTGACGTTCCGGAGACCAACCAAGCTCTTGGCTCATGATGTCAATAATACGAGGGAGCGACTCGAGAGTCGCCTGAGCGTTGATGAATGCGAGACGCGTACGACGTGCGATCACATCCTATACAAAAGACAATATCCATCAGAAAGTAACTTAAAAGAATCGACTGGTTGGAGTAATGTTGCTTACCACAAGAGTGCATGCATATTCTCGACGGACGGCATATCTAACCTCTGCCTCAATGTAGGGGTACGAGGGACTTATCCGTTGACCAAAAACTGGCCAACGCTTACCCGTCGGTTCTGATAACGCTGCGACGGCCCACGCACGGTCACCGTAGCTTTGAGCCAAATGCTGGGCAATCTGGAAGTGGTTTAACATGAATTTGTTTAGGACGCAAGAGCGAGCAGTAACAATCAATCATTTCGGACAAGATACCTCGGTTTCAATACCGAATTGTTGAATGATTTTAATGAATGTCGTGTTCGAATATCCGTGCGATCCAACAAGTTTGGCTCTTTCGGTGAGGCTGTCATTTGATGGCTTCAGCTCTTATTGGGTATTGAAAAATGTTAACACGAATAGTCGAAAAAGCACGTGGAAATATAGAAACAATACGAGTATGTGAACTAACCAAGCACTTTGATGGCTACGTCAACAGTTTCCTTTGCCATGTTTCTGTATGTTGTCCATTTTCCACCCGAGATGGTAATCATGTTGGACTCGCTAACATCGATCATGTGGCTTCGCACCAATTCCGAAGTATTTTTGGCGGACGGATCACGAACCAGAGGACGAATGCCGGACCATGCAGAAAGAACATCACTACGTCTAACTTTGATATCTGAAAAAATGGAATCTTCCGTTGGTTAGAAAATTTATTCGCATGAATGTTATTTTTTCATATCTCAACGAACCCGGACTCAAATATCTTCTAACTTCTTCGAGAATCCATTGTATTTCCTCTTCCTTAGGAACTGGGTTGTATGTTAACTCTGTGGGAGAATCGGTTGTACCGGCAATGGTGGCTCCCTCCCAGGGCAAAAAGAAGATGACTCTTCCGTCCGACGTCTGAGGATCTAACAATCCCATCTTTCGGGGGCTATAATAATTTGGTAGAACGATGTGCACACCAGAAGATGGTTGCACGATTTTCTCTGTCCTGGGATTGTCCATGGAACGTATACCATCTATCGAACGAACAATACATGAGTCCTAAAACTTCTCATAATTTCACATGGTCCGAACGGAAAGCAGATAAAATTACCTGTAAATGCACCAGTAGCATTTATAACACCTTTGCTTCTAATGTCCCACTCTTCGTTGGTCAAATTGTCCCTAACATGAGCCCCGATGACTTTCCCGTTTTCATCCTTTAATAGATTCACTACTTCGACGTGATTTGCGACGACCGCGCCATAAGAAATCGCGGTCAAGGCGAGAGCCACGTTCATTCTCGCATCATTGTGTTGACCTGTGGTGAATTGGTGGATGCTTAGTAACGGATGAAGGATCGCAAATGCAAAACGACATATGAATTCATACGCAATACTACACGAGGATTTTGGTTGCTTTTCTTAACGAACCATCATAGTAAACCAAGGCGCCGACAAGTTTCTCTTTTTTTAACCAAGGGAAAGCTTCAAGTGTTTTACTGCGAGTTGAAAAATAAGAGCTTTCCAATTTTTCTCCTGCGGTGCCCGCGAGGAAATCGTAAGCCTTTACGCCAACCCAAAAATATGGGAGTTGCCACCACCTGCATTGACATCAAAATATCAGAATACACTTTTCAACGAGAACGAGTGAAAATGTGTAGAAATTGTTCAAAGGTTTGCTCAATGCATACTTGTAAATTGGCAAAATGATGGGTAATGGATAACTTAGGTAAGGGGCGATATGCAAGAACGTCGCACGTTCATGAAGGGCCTCTCTTACCAGTTTGTATTGTTCATAATCGAGTTCCTTGAAAGCTTTTTCGAGATATCGAACGCCTCCGTGAACAAGTTTGGTCGAACGAGAGGAGGTTCCTGCCGCAAAGTCGTCTCTTTCCACCAATGCTACCTTCAATCCTCTCGTTGCGGCGTCAAGAGCGGTACCCGCGCCGGTAGCCCCACCGCCGATAATTAGAACATCAAAAACGGATTCGTTATCCTTGATCGAATTCTTAAGCATGCTTAGCATTTCCTTTCTCGAAGGTGGAGCCCAAAAAGTGTGTGGTTTATCCGACATTTTTTCAAATAGAATTGATCTATTCGCGTCTGCATATGTCTCGGACATGAAAATTTTGGGGGTAATTGCTGAAGGACGTTGAAAGTCCCTTTGTTTCGTGGAATTCGTATTGTGGAGATAATAAGAGGTCCCACCAGCGGCGACTGCCAAACTTGCAAGAGCTATGCGTCTCCTGTTCAAAGCTTTCCACATTTTTTGAATTCAATTAATTTCCTTTGAAACCTCGGGATAAAAAAAAAAAAATTGATGATATTTATACTATGACAAAAAAAGCACATGCAAGTGTTAAATTTTTCTTCACATGGCTGTATGATGGGCTAGTGATGTATCTGTACTAAATTGGGGGATTCGGGAACGGCCAAAAGTGTCTTAGTATCTGGTTCTATCACGTGGATATAATTTTTTTTACGCGCCGGTTTTCAACAAGTTATAATCAGCCAACCAATTTTGGACCACCGTAGTACCCCTGGTAAATGGATCGCGTTACAAAATATCCATGGAATCATAGCTTTCAATATTTAACACGTGCAACCAAGTCGGAGGATTAACAGAGTCGGAAAATTTACCGATTTATCTTGTGTATTGTCTTTATTACGTAAACGGATGTGCCGATGATCAAAAAGAAAGCGGTGAAAGGTGTTTCAAACTAGAACAAAATGTCAAGCTTGAAGGATATACTGCGCAGCATAACGACTTTCGTTAATTCTTCCAATTCTGATGTCCAATCAATTATCGATCTCATTGATAACTTTGCGACTCCTCAAGATCGCGAGAAAACTGATAAAATTTCGGCAGAACTTTTAAATCTCTTCAATTCCATACAAAACGACTCGCGAAAGTTCTACTCATTCTTGAAATGCCTGAGGGCGCTGTTACCAATTTTGGGGGCCGATATTTTTATTACCGACTGGTGGAGTCGAGTTTTGCTTCCCGTTCTTCAATCCCCGTTGCAACCAAGGGACATAGTGGAAGAAGTTAAAGGGATTACGCGGGATCTATTGGTGTTTGAAACAGAACGTGTGGCAGTATTCCGAAAGGAAATTATTGAACTTTATTTAAAGGAATCAAGCATGGTGGGCAAAGCAGCTGGCGAGGGGAAGGGTATAGTGGGAGAACAGGTACACGCATTCTGGTGTAAAAATTTGGACAGTGTGCTCCGAAGCTTTGGTGGCGTTAAAACAAAGGTAGCAATGCGTTCCTTTGACATTCGTAATCAGCATTTACCAAAATAATAGTTCTTAAAAATCATTATTTAATTTAGGGTTTCTTTGATCTTTTAAATCTTTACTTTATTCAACAAAAATATCGACTGCAAATATTATCCCTATTAGCCGAGTTCATCCGGTGTCAGGTTGAGCGAACGCATTTTATATTAATATTCATACTTATCTGCGCCAAGCGTTCTTTGATAAAGGGAAAAAAAACTGACATTCTTTTTAACCAGAGTTAGTATTTTGAACGAATAGAACTTACACATTCACCGAATTCTGGAAACATCTTTGCTCGATTCCCTACTTACCTCCTTGCAGGTAACATTTCGAACATAAAATTTGTATATTTTCACGTTGACACATATCCTGACGATTCTATTATATTTGGTTTTGTTAATAGAGAGATACATCTACCACTCTGATTTCCTTATTATTGACAACGCTCACCATGCTTTTACCTCACATATGCACATCGGTCGCTTCTCACCTTCCACGCCTCTATACTGTGTTCATCAGAATCTTATGTTGGGACAAGCGTAATTTAAGACCCGTGGATTATGGAGACGAAGTGGACGATGAGATCTTTGATAACAATCACTCGCCAAAGGAAAAGAATGATGACGTATGGGAACAATGTGGTAAGACCGCCTTTCCAAAAATATTAATTTCTAAGTCAACTGTTATGGAAAGAAAATGATTGATTTTACCGATTTGACCTAGATTCAACATTTGATAATATACCGTCGACACCGCCGAACTGCTTGCAACTTTTTACAATATTATACGGAATGTTTCCATGCAATACCATAGAATTTTTGAGGGATCCAACTGCGTGGTTAAAAGAAAAGGATTACGCTCCTCCTCTTCATATGAAGATTGACGATGATGTCATACGTACCAGAAGCGTGGTATGTCGAAAATTTTTCATTTATACATGAAAATAACGGATCGAGGTGGTGTAACATCAACCTTTATTTTCGCGCGTAGCCATTATTGCGGCGTCACACTCTACACCCAAACATCATTCTCAGTGATTCTCAAAAAGAACTTTCGGATACCTCAAGATGGATGAAACTTGAACCCGCGGATGTCGTGGCGGAATGTGTTGGACTTGATATGGAAAACGCGTCAACATCGAAACCTCGTTACGGTGAGTTGGATGACATAACAGTGAATGTGCCAAATCAAGTAACTCTAGAAGCTGAAACCGGAAGAGTTAGACGAACTTCGCAGTCAATATCTTTACGAGAAATTATGGATGTTCATCAGGCTTTGAAGAGCGGGGCTGACATTGTTGTGGGCGATGATCCCTGGGTACAATTTTACACTTCTTCGATGTATTAATATGATTGATTTGATTGTTAAGTAACCTAATCTTAATTCTTGAATTGCTCATGCGCAATAGACTTCGCAAATAATTTCCTATGCAAATTTATCCACATCACAACCCCCTGTACCGCCTTCACCAAACTCATCATCCTCTTCTACTAGATACTTTGACAAATTACAACCTTCCGTCTCTCCGTCAAATGTCCAAGCCAGTATTTCATTCCTACAGCGTGAAATAATGTTACTTCGAAATGAATTGAATTTTGAGCTTTACCTAAAACAACAACACCTTCAGCATATCAGCCGCCTCCATCGTGATCATGTACTTGATAACAGAGTCGAAGCTGAAAGTCAAAACCTATACAACACCTGTCGAAATCTGAAAATACAATTAGAGAAGACGCAGACGGCCTTAAATAGACAGCGAGATGAGACGCTCAATATAAAGAAGAAGCACGTTCAGTGGGAAGATGACCTGAATGCAAAGTTGAAAAAATATCGCGAGGAAAAGAAAGGATGGAAAACAGAAATAGACAAGTTGGAGCAACAATTGATAGAAGCCAAGGTATTACTATTATTATATAATCATTATTGCGGACAGAGTAGAAAATTTTGGATGTCGCTAATGTTAATAATTTATAATATGAAAATAGCTTACTATTAATTCACAGAGTAAACAGATAGAAGAATCTAATGCAAAGTAAGGAAACTAATACATTAATTTACTTGTTTCTTATTAAGTTATCCTTTTTTTCTTTCTTTTTTCTTTTCTTTTTTTTTTAATTTATTTAGAAATTTCAACCTTGAAAATCAAATCAAGGTGTCCGAACCACAAATACAGAAGATAACCGAATATAAACAACAAATCGACCAGTTAACCAAACAACTCCTGCTTTGGTATTACTACTAACTTATTTAATTGGTCTCACTTTCAATGTTAATATTGTCTTGGGATTTACATATTGTCGCTTCTTAATATGACGACCTATCTAACAAACCACGTTCATTAGGGAAGCAGATACAAGAAAATTTCAAGAGCAAAAACAACTTATGGAAACTCTCGTGGCACAATGGCACAAAATGAAAATTAAATTAGAGTCTGGAGAAGCTGAAATTAAGAAATTAAAGTTGTTTGTCAGGTAAGGATGTTCCACTGTGTTATTTATTGTTAAACGAGTTACTCCAAATTCATGTAAATTTTCTAGTTCTCAATCACGCATAATTGATGATTTGAAGGCAAAGTCCGAATCATCTTTAAAAAATACCGAAAAGAATGCATTAGAAAAGCAGGTAAATTATACACGAAGGTTATGTCGCTGATATCGCGAAATGCTCACATACACTCTCCCCATAGATGAGAATTTGGACGCTCGAGCGAGATAGGCGAGACAAAGAATTCAAAAAGTTGGAAACTTATTATGAGAATGTTAAAAAACGTAACGAAGAATTACAAGTATTTATCATAAATTTTTGGTTTCTACATTTTGACTTTCGGTCAATCATTGAAATTGATTTGTCGATTCATTATTTCATCTAACAAAAAAATTTTTAATCTAACCCATAGACACATATTATTGATCTTCTGGCACAAATAGAATCTCTTACTCAATCTCGACGTAATTCAGTTGCCGACGAGCAATCTGAAAATCAGATATAAACGAACGAGTAAAAATGTTTCCTACTATTTTAGTGTTTAAATTTTTTAATAGATGTAGAATTGTCGGATTTATGTATGTTTCTATTCGGATGGAAATATCATTTTTTTTTTTTAACAAAACCTTGAAAAGTATGTATAATCTGAAGCCTATATGACTTTGATAGACCTTGACTGGCTTGTATTTGTAGCAGGAATATTTTTATGTAACATTATAATCGGAAATTTGTTATTGAACTGGCAAACAAGAAAATCCTTAATAAATTTTTTTAAAATTAATGTAGAATAACATTAATTTTTACCAATTACTAGGAAATGGAAACCATTATTAAGTCTAAAGCTAAATTTTATTATAATTTAGTAATAATATATACAAAGAATTCTTTTTAAAATGCATTCTTCCTAAATACTAAATACATCTTTTATTGTGATTTTAGATTGAAACAATACATCTTTTATATTTTAATATTGCAATAATTTTTTATATAAATAATCATTTTTAAATTGGATCAATAATTTTTTGAACCTAAAATTGTAACTTCAAAATTATATTTAAATATAATGAAAAAAAAATTTTTTTTATTTAAATTACAAGTGATGTTAGATGTGTTAATTTTATCAAGGATAAATCTATTGTAAAATATCAATTATTTCTATCACTAGTCGAAAAATATTTATTCAGCATCATGTCACTCATATAATATTTGTCAAAAAAATAAATAATTTGACATATTAATAATATAAATAAATCATCAATCAATTTTTATCATATAATTAAGCATAAATACTATAAATCGTCAATTAATTTCTACTATATAATTTGACATTATTTGCCATATAATTTGCATTATTTTTACTATATATTGTATTAAAATTTTCTTCAAAAAATTATTAAATATTTATCAAAATTTATATATTTGTCAAATTTTTAATTATATTTTATATTTATGATTTAGAGAAATTATAACCAAATATTTATAAAAGTCTTGTTGATTTGAGATTCTATATCTAAACAAAATAAATCAATCAAAAATATTATGAATAGAGATTATATATTCATGTCTAATTGAGTAAAATTCAGTACTTCACAATTCAACATTCATATCATTTTTAGATTTGAAATAAAATCTATTTTTTGCTGAATTAACCAGTTTATACTATTAAATAAAAACCAATCGATGTTCAATAACATTATTCAAAAAGTTAACTGAATGTATAAAGAAGAATTGACTACTTCCATTGTGATTCATGAATCTAGCTAATATAAATAAGCCTTTAATATTTCATGAGGACATAACAAAATTAAATATTCACTTCTAATTCAATATTTATCATATTGATTTATTCTTTTGAAATGGTGACTCAGGCTTGTTTTATTAAAGTTTTAAGACGTGATAAATGAATGCATATACAAGAAATAATTACTAATAAAACACTCCTAGAATTGTCTGTGAGTGGTTAAGAATTTTACGCTACTACTATCACTTTGATTCCATAAGCTGGTTACTCTTCAAGGGCTTCATCAGTTGAGGGCGTATTGCTTGTTCCTTGGCTGCTTTCAGTGTCTCCATGTTGTAAAATTCTGGCCGCTCCAATCCACGGGATGGCTTGTTGTTAGGGAGAATAACTTGAATCAATCTAATTCACACACCAGGAAAGAAGATTTGTCGATATTCCTAGATTCCCCTTGATGAATGTACTCAGGCGAGACATGTCGTTCCAAAGAAAAATTTTAAGAAAGGTGGTTGTGTTCGAAGGATATGTTGATATACAATGAGAAAATGGGAGTATCAAAACCCTCCAAAAAGATACTGTCCCAGGTGTTGTTATGTTTGTTAGAGAGGAGGAGGAGTGAGAGGTCTTTGTTGGCTATCCGATAAATCCTATTTCAACAGTTCTTTTTCCAAGATATCACTGATTTAGGAGTTTTGCTTGTCCTGTATCCACCCACACCCCAGATGTGACTTATGGTGAACCCCAGGTTCTTATGGAGCTGAAAAAATGCATTCAGACATATGATGTAACCAATGGGAGCTTGTTTACTTCTTTTACTAATGTGATCTCTATCTGTCCAATCACGGTGTGAGAAACTTTGTGCTACTCAAAATTCAGGGTCAAACTGAGGTAGGTAAAATTCCCCAGAAAAAACCCTGAACGAGCACTATAAGAAGCCAAACAGATAACAAAAGAGTGGAGAAGTTGTCTCTCATCATCACAGAACTTCTGTGTTGTTTCTCTACAGTGTGAGATGATGGCATATTAGTTCTTCTTCCTTTTAGAACTTTCTTGCCCTTGGTAGGAAAGGTGTTTCTTGACTTTCAGGTCACTAGTGATTAAGTTTTTGTTTGAAAAGGAGTATTAACAAGAAGGAAGGGAAGTAGTGATGACTCTTAAAATTTTTTCAAGTTGGTTTAAAGAAACTATTAAGACTTTATTAATATAGAAGTATGAAAACTTCTTGTGAACGTCTTTTTTGTGTGTGGTCAGAGAATCAGTGGAAAGAGTTGATTGATCATATTGATCTACTCTATTTCAAATAATTATTGAATTTTCATTATCTTTCATAAATGGTTTCTGAAAGTCCATAGTTTCATAAAATGTCTTATAGTATTCAATTAATAAATCTAATATTTTAGTAGATATCTCTAAATTGGATTTTTTCAAATGCAAGAGTTCACCTGAAAAATGATTGAATTCATTGATAATTGTTTCATGAATATTATATATATTATTTAAAAATTGATATAACTCATTAGTTAAAAACTAATCTAGTTCAAAAATTGAGCCAATATTTAATTGATTATTTAAAATTTTAAGTTTATTATTATTAGAATAGAATATAATTAGATTAATAATTTGACAATCATTTATCAATCTTTATATTAATTTGGGTTCAATATTTTAGTGACTATTAAACAATAAATCTAGATTAAAAATTTATTAGAATTCTACTTTCAAATGTTAAATTTGTTTAAAAATCTATCTAATATATTATTTATCCTCTCAAATGAAAAGTACCAAAATGTATATAATAACCTATAATTATATATACATTCATATAAATATAACAAAGAATAAAAATTTAAAAAAAATCTCCGCTGATCTTCTGACCATACACAAAAAAGATATTTGCAAAAAGTTTTATACTTCTTTGCTAATAAAGTCTTTACACTTTCATTAAAACAACTTAAAGCTTGTCTTCATGTATCTCCTCTACCTTCTCTTACTTGTTTATAAACTCCTTTGAATAAAAACTTGAGCCTCTAGTGGCCTGAAAAGACTCAAGTACGTACTTCCTCT